AATACCAACCCCATTTCATTTTTGGATCAACATTTATTTAAAGTATCACTTAGTAGTTAGTATTGATATTTATTAAAATTATGAAAATAGGAGTTTCAAATATAATAATTTAACTCAAAAATATAATTTTCATTCGGCTAACTGAACCACTAACCCTTTGAGAATGGTTATCCAGTTCAATTTATAATATATATATATATATAGGCTAAACTCACGATATAGCCCTCAAAATAAATAATTCACGAAATAACGTTATCCCAACATTATTTGCTGAAATAGGGCAAAATCAACAGTGTGGCCGTAGGTCGCCATGCCTTCCGGGCGACCTACGACGTGGCTTGCTCTGCATGGGACATGCACAACCCAACCATAGGTCGCCATGCACTCCCAGCGACCTCCTAGGTCGCCATGCACGCCCGGCGACCAAGGAGGTCGCCATGCACTCGGGGCGACCAAGGATTCATGCATGGGGAGATCGTGCCATGCACTCGGGGCTCGGTTCATGCATGGGGCACTCGAGGCGACCAAGGAACGGTTCATGCATGGGACACTCGGGGCCATGGAGTCCCGGCAAGGTCGCGAGCAGGCGAGCATGCAGCAGGGCATGGATGGGCGTGCTCCTTTGGCGAGATGGGCGTGCATGGGCATGGAGGTCGTTGGCTGGTAGGTCGCAGGGCATGCATGGCGACCTACCAGGTCGCTGGGCGTGCATGGCGACCTGGTAGGTCGCCGGGCGTGCATGGCGACCTACCCCGGTACTGTAGAGGACACCACTTGAGCAATTAATCTGACGATCCCACTATTTCGTGAAAAAAAAAATTTCAACGCACTATCAACGAGATTTTGCCTATATATATATATATATATATACAAATCGATTTTGCTAATGCGGTTGTCAATTTTTATATCCTTCCATGCAAAGAAGAAGAAAAAGAAGCATACCGCCGTGGTCTAAGGCCGCCATGAACTGGCCCAAACCACCGGCTGATCTTTCCAAGACAAGAATATTCCGGCGTCGGAACACTGTGCCATTGACCAACCTTCCTTGTACCTTCTCAATAAGGCGCGTACATCGTCACACACTTCATCGCTCAAAACACCGGGGCCAAACCCACTTCCACGGAACCGTCTTGACCACCGTGCCGCAGGCTCGCGTCTCTCTATGGACCGGGACGGCGAGCAAGCCACCAACTCAACTATGGCTCGCCCAGCGGCTCGTTCCAGCATCAACCTTTCATGGCTTGTTTTAGGAAAGCTGTCGTCCAATGCTTCGAAATAAACCCTAAACCACCTTAAACACTCTTGGAAACCCTTAACGAACTCTAACCCATCAACCCCAACATCGAGATCAGCTTCTTCTTCGACAACGGTGATTATTCTCGGCTGCAGTTTCTTGAAATTAGATATCATCGTATCTCTACGATTATCAACGGCTCCGATCGAATGCAATGTCCCAACACAGTTGATGGCTAAGGCTTCATCTTCTTTGACATCAAGTTTAGATAAATTTAAGTCACATATATCACCGGCATGGTGTATTACATTGAATTTAAAGGGAACTCCCATAAGCCGAGCAAACTTTTCCATTCGGCTTCCGATTTCTTTCATTATATCATCGACTGCAGCTAAGCTTCCTCCTCCTGCTGAAGAACCTGAAACGCCGCCGTTTTTGCTCGGGACGATCGTGGTTAGCCTCAAATGTGGGGTTTCATCTGTGCGGGTGGCTAGGGCTTCAAGCAAAGTAGGCCATTGGGTGCAATAAGTGTTGCTTATATCAATTATATGTAATTTGCTTTCACTTTCGAAAGCTTCCATGATTGCACCATTACAAGCAACGTGACCAAAAGTAGTCCAGGGACTTACCTCTTGGAACTTCAATACCATCCTCCTCGTTGACTCGAATGAACATGTTTTCTCAGATGCCGAGGCTAACGTTCGATAGAAACGCTCGCCGGAGTCGTTCATGCGGCTAAACAAAGCTTGAAGGAAGTAAGAAGCAAGCTTTTGGTCGGTGTCACCGTAAGGTGAGCTAAGCTCGTTGAGCATCCACATGAGTTGTTGGAAACGTCCGCTGTTCCGACCGGCGATAGCGGTTGCTGTTTCCAGGAGGATATCGGTGGCCCACTTGCCGGAGATATCGAAGTTATTCAGGTCACGAGCAGGGGAGAAAGTAGAGAATTCAGAAGTTTCAAAGGCATGGTGTCTACCAGTGGGAGTTGTGGAGGTGCCAGCGGCGTCGGTGGTTGTGGAGGTGGCAGAAGGATGGGAATGATAAGGATAGTAGTGTCTAGAAGAAGACGAAGGGAAATCATCTTTATCCATGAAAAAGTTGAAGCAATCTTCGTATGGTTAGAGACCCGAAAACTCTGAACCATCTAATACCAAATAACAACACACCTATCGTATACACAAACAAATAAAACTGTATATTAACCAAGTAATTTAGTGGTTAATGGATTTGTTATTATTCGTTAAAATCCTGAGTTTGAACACTATAAATGAGAATGAATATTTGATTTTATTGAGAGTTTTTGAATCGGTATAAAAAAATAAATAGATTTTAGTTTACAAGAAATGTAAATTAGTAGTCTCTAAATAATATCTTTAGCATAAGTACATATGTTTAAGTTGTTTATGGCTAATTAATTTAGATGATGGATTATAAATATATCTTTTTAATTTAATTCAGGTACAATATCACAATTTAATTTTAAAAAATTAATTTAATGCTATCTCACTGTTCCAAGCAAAAGTCGATAAAATAAAATACTTTTGAGTTCTTTTCTTTTAACAAAGATTCACTTCAGTTATGGTGACCACTTGTTCTTGAGTTGAATAAATTTAGACCCATCTTTTAGGGTTCTTTCAAGGATTGAGATGTAGATTAGAATCGGAAGGCGGTTCAAATGTTAATGATTTTTGGGATTGGATCATAGTCTAGGGAACTTGTTTTTGACAAGAAATATCAAGATCTAATTGTGAGAGAAAAAAATTAATGATGTCAAAAGGTTTAGTCCACTAGAATTCATTTGATGGTTGTGGGTATTGGGGAATGTTTAAAGAGAAAGAAAAGAAAAGAAAAGGTTTCTTTTTGGGTAACCGATGAGAACATGTATTAGCTGGCCGCTGCTTTAAAAACGGAATTTGTGTCTGACAAAAGATGAAAAGAGATTCCAAAATTTTGATGGGGAAAAAGATTGTAAAATGTGGTACCATACCATACCATACCACAACACAATTAATTAGTATAAAAAATGAAAGAAATTAAACATAATCAGTATAGAGCATATGAATTCATAGGTGTAGGTGATAGTGGGAGAAGGCGTGGGAAACGGGTTTGCGATTGTAAGGGGTAGATTATTCCAGACTAAAGGTGATGCCGTCTATCATCACACCCACTACCGTCACCTTCAATGAATCGTGAGATGATAAACCGGAGGATAAACTATACGTTTAGTATTTAAATCATTAATTTTAGTAATTAAATTTTTATTTTTCTTTTTAAAATTATATATACTGTTTCATTTTTATTTTATTTTAGTATCCTACAGTTAAAAACGGGTTTAATACTTAAAATATTAGTTTTGATCAATTTTAGTATCTAAATTTTCTTTTTTTTTTTAAAAAAAAAATTTAACATTAAATTTTTAACGGGTACTAAAATGAAACAAAAACTAAATGTTAAATATAATTTTGAAAAATAAAAATGTAAGTATTAAAATATATCAAAACTAATAGTTTAAAAATCTAACTAGGAAAATATAGTGATAAAGTCTTATCTCGATTTGTATAAGAGTTATTGTAATATATACGAAGAAATGTTATATCAAGAAAAATGTAAGAGGATGTGAGTTTGAATATGTATTATCCTTTAATTTATAGGTGAGATGAGATATAAATAATTTTGACTATTTAATTTTAAAAATTAAATATGCAAAATCTAAAGACTAAAAATTACTGCATCATCTTCGCTATATCATGTCTTGAATGTCAGTTTCCAAAAAAAATCTTAAAAGTTAACGTTCGAAACTTTGTTTACATTATCTTCAATGAATCGATGGGTTGCTACTGATCGTATTGATGTGGAAACTTTCTCATGACTTGTGTTTCCCCTGGATTTTCTTCAATGATCATTAGGAGATGCCAGGCCTGGCTTCCTTTCTTCCGCACCTTATCAAATAATCATGAATTATCGAAACTCAACTCTTTTGCTTCAAAAGCAATCCTACAACTAGTGGCTGTTCCATGGATTTGTGGGTCCAAATTTGTTCACATACGTATTGGTTTTGAAACATCCGTAAGAGAATGTAAATGAGATGTCATAATATGATTGGATCTTAAATGTTGTGACCACAAAATACTATGCTTCTAAGTTTCTCTTTCCCATGACATCTTACTTTTATTCCTCAAATTTCATTCCAAATCTCAGAAATCGAAAGCTTTATATTTATAAGATGAAGCATAGATTCAGCAAGTCTGTTGAGGCGCAAATGCATAATGAGGTATTACGCTTCAAGGACAATGGAAAAGGAAAAGCATAGGTTTTTCTCACTTTTACCAAATGGGGTTCAACTCACTATTACATCATTCTTTTCCATGCATGTAGAATTAATCAAGTTGTGAAGCAAAAGTGATTCGATGGAGAAAACGACAGCAAAGCTTAAAAGGATGTTGTTTACAACCCACTCTACTTGCAACCTTCCACCGAAAGTTGAGGATTTATTCCCAGATCCTCTTAAAATGTCCAAGGAATAGAAAGCTCTGAAACATCACACCAAGTTGTAGTGTAGAGAAGGATTAAGAATAATATTTCCAAGTCAGAAATGCACATTTGGTGAGTGGTCCATAATGGCTAGTTTTAGCTTCCCTGCAACATGTAAAAAGCCATTAATTCTCTAGTGTTTTTAGCTTTCAAGAGCATAGAACTAATGCTGAGGAAGATGAGGCCAGCTGGAACATCAAAAAATCTCGCAACTAAATGAATCATCAGACTCGCCTGTTTTGTCCTGAATTCAACAGATGATGGCCCACCATTTCCTTCCAGCTGCCATCATATAATCATATTGTCTGTTCTTGTTCTTCGTGCTCAACTGTGAGAAAAGACCATGGAGAAGATATGTGGCTGCTATGATAGTGCAATACTGAATTGTACGTCATATGGACCTTGGCTAAAGGAAATTACAAAGCTCACAACAATATTTTACAGAAGATAAAAATTACAGAAGGTATGAAAGCTGGTTTTCCATTCTTCTTTTCACCACCTTGAAAATTTAATTTCACCTCACCACCAGAACAGAATCTGAATTTTCTGTCATTGAATCTCTCGTTCCCACAGTTTTGGTCAAAGCAGTGTTGAAATGCAAATTCTAATTTTGAGCACCTCTTGCTTCCAAGCTCCGGAGCACATTTGTATCGTTTAAAAGGGTGATGGTGGTGAATTAAAGAGCCTCACCGGTTTACCAAGCAGAAAAATCTTTAAATTCTCCGGGAGCGGTTTTCCTTTTCTTTGTTACAGAAATTGCCAACAGCAGTAGACTCGCTTTGGGAGTTCCTAGCCTTTAAGTACTTTCCAACACCACCGCCGCCAACTGCTCCGGCTTCTGCCATTCCTGTACCTGGATTGCTATACCAAGACCCAATCTTATCCTGGAAACTCAAAGGAAATGGTCCAAAACAATCAGTCATAAAGAAGAAAATATAAATAGAATAAGAAACTAAAATTCAGAATCTTGGAATCCAGTGGGGACCAAAACTATCATTATCCTCATCCTCAGCAGCCTTTTCACCATTGCTTTTTTCTTCCTCTTCCTCTTCATCAGGTTCTGAGTACGGATCTACAAATACTGTAACACTAATTATTTTAATCTCCTCCTGCACAAGCAACACAGGAAAACACAAAAATTAGTCTTGGAACATAAACTATCCTAGAAGCCAATCCTTTGAACAATAACAATGCTTAAATACAAAGTTGAACATTCAGGATTTTTCCTATCAAACATTTTTTTCAGCAGTAAATCATACACGATTAAAAGGGAAGCAGCAGCAAACACCATACAAACAGATATTCAATATTTATTGTAAACAGAAACTGGTTTTGACCTTAATATTATTTCTTTACGCAAAAGAAAAATAAATTGTAAGATTATTGAGCTAAATGGCTAACGATTTATAAAAGATCTTGCATTTGAATAATGAAGCAATCAACCAAGCTGATGAAAAACATAAAAACTTGAGAATCATTAATTATGGAAATAAAACTCAACATCAAAACTCACCAGAGGTTTGTCATTGTCATCCACAGGAACCTTCTCCATAGCTGATAGTGACGTCAAACCACCAACAACTCCACCAAAGACGGTATGTTTGAAGTTTAAATGATTTGCAGATTTGTAAAGGATGAAAAACTGCGAACCATTTGTGTGAGGGCCACTGTTAACCATACTAACAACACCTCTTCCTGAGTGAAGCAACTTAGAGTTAAGTTCATCATTAAAAGGCTTTCCCCATATTGATTCACCTCCTCTCCCAGTATCAGTTGGATCACCACCTTGAATCATAAAATTCCTAGAAACCAGAGTAACTTCATCAGCATGAGTCAAAAATATCAAGCCAAGTGATGAAAAACAGTACACAAAATTTGATCTGAGCAATTAGCAATATACCGAATGTTTCTATGGAAAGCCACACCATTGTAATAACCACGTTGACAAAGAATGATAAAATTCTCACACGTCCTCGGAGTAATATCACAGTGCAGCTCAATGTTCAAATCACCATGTGTTGTATGAAGCTGGACATAACCTTTCTTTTTAGGGCTTTTTTCAACTTTAACATACTCAAATTCATTTTTGGTGACTGGATCATAATTGGTAGAAGTAAAGGATCGTGAAGCAGCGCCAGTTGTAAAACGACTCTTCACCTGATAAAAAATCCAATGTTAACACTGACCAAGATTCAATTTGCAGAGATATCCTGAGGCATTTTCTACAAAGTCTAAATCCATCATTGACCTGAAATGATGAATAAGAATATCCAAAAATATCTTCATCAAGGAATTATCATTTTCCAATTTGCTAGTTGGCAAGCAAGGGGTTGATTGTGATTAACTGGACTTAAGCTCCTCCAGCTGAGTTGAGCTCTTCTTAGTGTTTCACAAGCTGCCATGTTCTTTGAGAGCTGTATATGTCTCCCAAATGCTCCAAGTTGTTCCAACGTGTGTCCTTGGTTTTAAAATGCGGGATGCGCTCTGATGCGTTTAGTGTCCCGGGAGCCGACACGAACCCGATGCGCCAATTTTCACAAAAAATACTTTTGAACTTATTTTATACCTTGTAAATACTTATATATCAAAAAAAATTCAATTAATACCAAAACAAATTTCAATTAATACCAAAAGTAGTTTAATAGTACTTCATAAATGTTGAATAACATAATATACAAGTACGCGTAGGAAAATCAAAACAACCAAAAGACAAATCAACAATAGCCCCCACTTCCCTTCCCCCCTCCCCCCCCCCCCACAAAGTTCTCCAAACTTTCTCTAGTCACAAACTAAATGTCTCCAAGATCCCCATCATCAAACCCGAGCACGTCTCCATCTCCCTCATCATCATCAATCACTCCAATGTCTTACTCCATCTCATCTTCATCAACAAGAGCGAGTCTTTTTCCTTTATCATTTCTTGATGGGCCGACCTCATCATCACCTCCTCTTCTTGTTCCTCTAGTGAAATGACTTGGCTCATTAGCCCCGGAAGTTCTACCCACCGCATCCCATGTAAGATCATCATCAAGAAACACCAAATCTTTTTTATCTTCATCATTTTTCATTCTACCCATCAACCATTCATTACTTTCATCAATATCATCCAAAGCAATAGGATCAGGGTTTCCTTTCGACGTTGCAATGAATGATTGAATTTAACATAACCCTTAATATTTACATATGTTATCATTTTGCTCCTGATTATAGAAAGTATATAAAAGTAAAATTTGTATAAAAAGTTTTAAGACTTAATTGTAATAAAACCTACAGTAAAAGAAAAAACAATTAAACCCTCATGAAAATTTTGCGCTCAATTGAGGCCTTCATTTAGCTAAAATTAACTTTGAAGTTTATAATACCATTTTTCAATATTTTGGAGTTTATAATATCATCTTTCAATATTTTGGAGTTTGAATTAAAATTAACTTCCAATTTTGAAATTCATTTTAGGTTAACACCTCTGTTTGGTATATACTTTTATCCGGACAAGATAAGTTACTATTGGGGTCAGAGAGAAACAAAACTAATTTGAAACTTTTCAAACTATACGGGCACATTGATGGATTGAAGTTTTTTGTTTTTTTTTTGACCAAGGAAATGCCTGCTTTGATTAAACTAAAACAAAATAAGCCAATGTCTTAAAACAAGTGCAAGCCAGCTGGCTAGCAATAAAGGAAACATCAGGTTCGTGAAACACACCCAAACAAAGTAAACAAATCAGTAAAAACTAGCATGCCTTTCAGTTCCTCTGAATTAACCAAGTAAAAAATGATGAAGAGAGCGATCTTCAGAGAAGTAGAGAAGAAAACAATCAATACTTCCATCCTTCGTCTACCCATGCCAAGAATCGGATATAAGGAGGGTCTAAGTACATTCAATCTTCATCTGCTTGGACTTCCACTCATCGCGAGGCTTCCTCGATCCAATAAGTATCTGTGAGTTCGTGATCACCGTCCATCGCCAGGAGGTGAGCTGCCTGGTTACTCTTTCGCGGAACAAATTGAAACGCACATGCATCAAAAAGATTAATATCGTTTTTGTGCTTCCCAGATGAAAGCACTAACTTTTGAAAAATCTTCATTCGGAGAGGAGAGTTTAGAGATGACTGCGTGAACAACCGCCATGGCTTCAACGAAAAACGAAAAGGTAACCCTTTGTTGAGTTCTCCTATATGCACCCATTATCTAACCATCTTGATTTCGAATAATAACACAAGTAACTATTTTTTTGTGGACTTGCGAGAAACTATCATCAAAATTTTACTAAACGCATCGGCCCGCATCATGTACCCCCTACCGCATCAGACTGCCAGATGCGTTTTAACCATCGCAACAACCGCATCACGCATCAGGCGCGCCTGATGCGCGCTTTTTTAAACCAAGCGTGTGTCATGCTCCAATGTACTATTTGTGAGCTGTATATGTCTACCAAATGCTCCACCAAGTTGTTCCAACGTGTGTCATGCTCAAATGTACTGTTTGTGCAAGAAAAACAAGGTAATTTAATGGCATTGAAATTATATGAGCTAAATACCTTGTTGTCGTGCATGATCATGTTTATATGAGCTAATGTTTAAAGTCTAAGAGCTAAATTGAATGCATATGAGCTAATAAAATAAATGATAAGTATGCTGCCATTATATAAATGTGATGAATCATGCTTAATGTGAATGCAAGACTATTCTAACATGCTTAACATATTTAAATAACGATGTGCATGATGTGTTCATACTAAACTACATAACTAGTAACCTTAATATGAAATGTATTATAATAGCATATAACATTAAACTAGCATAAAATACAACATAAAAATGTTTAACAGTACTCCCTTTGTAGGTGAATACGTGCTTGCATCACACACACTTATATACCTAATGAAACTAATGCATATAATTACTTAGTATAACTAAGGTGGCGTTACACATCAGTATGTAACATATTAAAATGCTTCGTTTCTAAGGCATAAACATTATGAAATGATTCAGAAATTTGTAAACACTTAAGAGAAAGAACTTCCCTGAAATGCTTTGCCTTAGAACGTGTAATAGGTCCTATTGGTAAGACCTCCGGATTAGCTTCCTTTGCTGGCATAGATGTGCTCACATCATCCCCCTTCGTGAAAAAGATTTGACCTCAAATCTGCAGAAACATCATATGGGGATAAACGTTAAATGCAGCACTTACATTGAATTCACTCGGTAAGTCCAACTTATAAGCGTTATCGTTCAATTTCTCCAACACTTGAAACAGACCATCTCCTCGTGGTAACAACTTAGAACGTCGTTGGGCTGGAAAACGTTTCTTTCGAAAATGAACCCAAACCCAATCTCTAACATCGAAGGTAGCTCGCTTACGACCTTTATTTGCTTGTTTCTCGTACTGTTGAGTCCTCCGCTCTAGATTTTCCTTAACCTGTTGATGCAACCTTTTCACATAGTCTGCCTTAGACTTTCCGTCCCTGTTCATAACCTCAGTTTGAGGATGCCAAGTAGTGGAAAACATCAGTTTCGTTCCCAATTTGCACCAAAGAGTCCTCCAGAAATGACTCAAAACTTAACATCCCTGTAAGAAACAATAGACCTATAAATTCCATGTAAACAAATAATCTCCTTGAAAAACAAGTTGGCCACATTAGTAGCATCATCAGTTTTATGACACAATGAAATGTGTCATCTTTGAAAAACTATCAAACACAACAAAGATACTATCTCTACTTATCTTAGTTCTAGGCAATCCCAACACAAAATCCATCTAAATATCCAGCCAATGAGAATCAGGAATAAATAAAGGCAAATACATATTGTGTGGTAGAACCTTCGATTTTGCTTTCTTACATGTTACACAACGTTCACATATTCTTTCAACGTCCCTGCGCATCTTAGGCCAGAATAGATGCTCCTTCAGAATGTGCAACGTCTTAGTAACTCCAGAATGTCTCATAAGTCCACCTTCATGTGCTTCTCGAACAAGGATTTCTCGAATTAACCCTTGAGGAATGCAGATTCTTCCTTCTTTGAAAAGATAGCCATCATGTCGATAAAACTTCTCATCTGCACCTTTTTCACATGACATATATCTTTCTCCAAAATCAAGGTCAGTGGCATATAAATCTTTAATATAAGCAAAACCAATCAAATGAGAATCCAAATAATTCAGAAGTACATACCTACGGGATAAGGCATCCGCTACAACATTATCTTTACCCTTTTTATATAGAATGGCATAAAGAAAAGACTCCAAAAATTCAACCCACTTAGCATGCCTTTTATTCAATTAATGCTGACCTGTAATGTGTTTCAAAGTCTCATGATCGATGTGAATCACAAAATCTTTCGGCAAAAGATAGTGTTGCCACGTCTCAAGTGCTCAAACTAATACATATTTCATTGAGAATTTGAGTGGTGCCACCTTAAACTATCCAGTTTATGATAAGGAGATGTATGCATACCGTGTGGCATCACTATCTTTTGCCGAAAGAGTTTGTGATTCACATCGATCATGAGGCTTTGAAACACATTACAGGTCAACATAAATTGAATAAAAGGCATGCTAAGTGGGTTGAATTTTTGGAGTCTTTTCCTTATGTCATTCGATATAAAAAGTGTAAAGACAACGTTGTAGCGGATGCTTTGTCCCGCAGGTATGTACTTCTGAATTATTTGGACTCTCATTTGATTGGTTTTGCTTATATTAAAGATTTATACGCCACTGACCCTGATTTTGAAGAAAGATATGTCATGTGAAAAAAGTGCAGATGAGAAGTTTTATCGACATGATGACCATCTTTTCAAAGAAGGAAGAATCTAAATTCGAGAAGTCCTTGTTCGAGAAGCACATGAATGTGGACTTATGGGACATTATGGAGTTACTAAGACGTTGCGCATTTTGAATGAGCATCTATTCTAGCCTAAGATGCGCATAGACTTTGAAATAATATGTGAACGTTGTGTAACATGTAAGAAAGCAAAATCGAAGGTTCCAAAATCGAAGGTTCTACCACACGGTATGTATTTAACTTTACCTATTCCTGATTCTCCTTGGCTGGATATTTCGATGGATTTTGTGTTGGGATTGCCTAGAAATAGGACAGGTAGAGATAATATCTTTGTTGTGGTTGATAGGTTTTCAAAGATAGCACATTTCATTGCGTGT